ACACAAAAGTCACGGCTCTATAAAACACAAAATACACAGTTTTATAAAAACAAAAGACACAGTTCTACAAAAACACAAAAGTCAAGGCTCTATAAAAATACAAAAGTCACGGCTCTATAAAAAATAAAACACAAAGACACGAGTTCTATAAAACACAAAGACACTGTTCGACAAAACACAAAGAGACGGCTCTACAAAAACACAAAAGTCACGGCTCTATAAAAACACAAAAGACACAGTTCTATAAAAACACAAAAGAGACGGCTCTATAAAAACACAAAAGACACAGTTCTACAAAAACACAAAAGACACGGTTCTACAAAAACACAAAAGACACGGCTCTATAAAAACACAAAAGACACAGTTCTACAAAAACAGAAAAGAGACGGCTCTATAAAAAAACAAAACACACGGTTCTACAAAAACACGAAAGACACGGTTCTACAAAAACACAAAAGACACGGTTCTACAAAAACACAAAAGACACAGTTCTACAAAAACACAAAAGAGACGGCTCTATAAAAACACAAAAGACACGGTTCTACAAAAACACAAAAGACACGGTTCTACAAAAACACAAAAGACACAGTTCTATAAAAACACAAAAGAAGCAGTTCTATGAAAACACAAAAGACACAGTTCTATAAAAACACAAAAGACACAGTTCTATAAAAACACCAAACATAGTTCTATAAAACACAAAACATAGTTCTATAAGAACAATAATTTTTCTCCAGTGTAAGTGAGAAAGGGTTGCTACAAGAATGAAACAGAAATGATAAAATTTTTGAAAAAAACAAATTAATCGTTTTAACTCTGTGGTTTCTTGTAGACACAGTTATTGTAGATGGATATATAGAAGAAGAAAAGTATTTCAAAACGTGCTTTGTTAAATGTAATATACGTCTCACGTGTTTTGGTTTGTTTTTTACAGTTTAGACTAATGTACAAACATGGTTAAAATTGGCAGCAGGGGGGGATATGCTGAAAATATGGCTTCTGGTGCCTGAATCTTGAGTGGAACTGAAAGAGTATCTGAAAAGATTTAGGGGAGCCTCCTCCTGGTTTTTAAGCCAATAATAAACCAATGCAGATAAATTAGGCTAACATCTGAAAACACAAAGAAATTGTTAAAATCGCTGGCAAATATCTGGTTAATATTTCGACTAAACGAGATACAGCCATTTAAACTATTTTCTGTGAATGTGATAAACGCCCCCCAGTGGCACAGCGGTATGTCTGCGGACTTACAACGCTGGAAACCGGGTTTCGATACCCGTGGTGGGCAGAGCACAGATAGCCCATTGTGTAGCTTTGTGCTTAACTTCAACAAACAAACAATGTGATAAACATATATTGTTAGTTTTTATCTTATAATAACTGACAGTAATAATAACGGATTCTGTTGTTTTCATTTCCAGGTATAGATGTTATGGCTACTATCATTCAGCAAAGTCGTGATCACGGGATACCAAGTTACACTGCTTGGCGAACATTTTGTGGATTTCCACTTGTGAAAACATTTCAAGATCTCGAAATGTTTATGGACAAAACTACTGTAAAACTCTTTCAACAGATATACAAAGTTGTGCAGGACGTGGACCTTCTTCCTGGAGTACTAGCAGAAAGGCCCCTAGAAGGGGCGATGGTTGGTGAAACTCTAGCCTGTCTCCTTGGGTACGAATTCTATCAAGTTAGAGGCTCTGACCGATTTTGGTATGAGAATGACCTCCCTCCTTCATCGTTTACGCTTGAGCAACTTCAAGAAGTCCAGAAGGTCACGATGACACGGATATTATGTGATAATGTTTTTAACGACGGTTATATTCAACCTGATTCATATCAGATTCCAGATCCGTGGCTTAACAACTTCGTTTCTTGTAGAGACAAGCTGATTCCATCAGTCGATCTTAGCAAGTGGCGCTCCGAGGTCTCATTTGAAAACATTCCATCGGAAGCCATTGCTAATGCTCTTAGAAATACACTGAGTTTTTTAGAGCCTTCGCAAGCAAAAGTAAACATCACGAACGTCTTTAACCAATCAAGCAGTCAGCTAGAAAACACTCGTAATACATCTGAAACTCAGGGCCTTTTACGAGCTACTATACAGTCTCGTTTAGTCCACTCTCAGTCTGTTCTTCTTGAAGAGGCAACAAGACACGTGATTGAAGAACTAACTGCTAATTTAGACCCCGCCCAAAAGAAAGAGAGGATATTAGACATACTGCCAGCTCTTCAACACGTCCCTTTACTCCAATACAACCTTCATTTCGAGGAACCGAAGGTTTGTGATGACGTGCCTTATCCTTGTGACTATACCAGTCTGTACAGGACCGAGAGTGGACGTTGTAATAATCTGGATAACCCCGAGTTTGGAAAAGTTGCTCATAATTTTATTCGCCTTTTGCCTCCAGCTTATGATGATCACATTTCATCTCCCAGAAGTCGGAGTACCACTGGTTCAAGTCTTCCGAGCCCTAGGTTGATATCCGTCATGGTGCACGAAGATGGGAGTGAGTTGCACTTGCGATACACCCAAATGCTGATGCAGTTTGGACAGCTAATTGACCACGAAATCACTCACACCCCTATTCATGAAGGTATGCGATATCTTATGATTTATCTAAAATTTATCAGTAAACAACTTGCTCCACACATTGAGACCTGCCTCCATAAACGGACCACCACTGAACTGCAAGCACGATTGTTTGTTTTTTGTGAAATCCCACGAAAGTGGTGGTGATGGGCTGAGAAACAAAATCCACTTTTCGGTCCCAAAAGGTAGTCCAAGAGTTGACGGTGGATGTTGTACACTAGTTTTATTCCCTTTAATCTGCAAGACCAAAGTTAGGGATAGTTTGCACAGAAACCTGTTGCGTAACTTTGGCCGAACTTCTGAAACAAACAAATAAATCCTTACTCTTAGAGCTAAAACTGCTCTGATAGTTATATATCCGCCAAAGCCTAAATCATAGCGTACAGATAATATTACTGACTACAGACTATGCCTGGATAATAGTGTTAAAATACTATTACTGACTACAGACTATGACTGGATAATAGTGTTAAAATACTATTACTGACTACAGACTATGCCATGATAATAACGTATAGATACTATTACTGACTACAGACTATGCCATGATAATAACGTATAGATACTATTACTGACTACAGACTATGCCATGATAATAACGTATAGATACTATTACTGACTACAGACTATGCCAGGATAATAACGGATAGATACTATTACTGACTACAGACTATGCCAGGATAATAACGGATAGATACTATTACTGACTACAGACTATGCCAGGATAATAACGGATAGATACTATTACTGACAAGATACTAGGGCTGAATCAAAGGGTATATAGATACTATTACTGACTACAGACTATGCCTGGATAATAACGGATAGATACTATTACTGACTACAGACTATGCCAGGATAATAACGTATAGATACTATTACTGACAAGATACTATGGGCAGATCAAAGGGTGTATTAGTGTCTAGACAGTATTGTGTTTGAATGAAATATTGCCGCTACAAACGACAATAAAGTTCTTCAGGACGACAAACATTTTGTTTATTTATATCCAAATATTACATATTTTATTACTCCTGTTTTAATTTGATCCTTCTAATATTTATACGTTCTGAACAGTTTATTTATTCAAAACATTCGGCAAAGATACGTGGTGACTATCTGCGTGCTAGCTAGCCGTTCTTAATTTTAAATTGATACCACCAGAGATAAGGCAGCTACCTAAAAACACCCACCACCAACTTTTGGACTACTCTAATCACATAGTGGGATCTGATTGTCGTTATTATAGTACACCCACGACCGAAAATGTAGAGCGCGACTTTACTGCAACAAGACATAAACGAGATACTGGGACTCGTAGTTCCAGTAATATAATATTATCTGTGTTTATGTTCACATGTTATTACTGCCAGTAATATAATATTATCTGTGTTTATGTTCACATGTTATTACTGCCAGTAATATAATATTATCTGTGTTTATGTTCACATGTTATTACTGCCAGTAATATAATATTATCTGTGTTTATGTTCACATGTTATTACTGCCAGTAATATAATACTGCTGATGGTGTCACAGCGGTGAAACAATGATTGAAATAGTTTTTTCATTATTATCTGGAGAGAAAAGGTCATTGTTTTATCTTTCTAGCTTTATTACCTGCTACTTTTGTAAGCAAGTACGCGTGGTGCCAGGTGCCTCTAGTCATTGTAATGTCTTCTGTCATCGTGTTAACAGTGGACGAACTTCACCTATCGGTCATCTTCTAAACAAAAAATTGAATTTGAGTCAATCTCTATGTATTTCCCTTATTGATTGCTTTTTGCTTTCCCTCAATGTAATCAACCACCATCAAAGACTCAAACACATCGGTAATAATTATTGTACTGCCTTAGCTGCAGTGTAATTGGCTACCATCAAAGACTCAAACACATCGGTAACAATTATTCTACTGTGTTAGCTGCGAGTGTAATTGGCTACGATCAAAGACTCAAACACATCGGTAATAATTATTCTACTGTCTTAGCTGCGAGTGTAATTGGCTACGATCAAAGACTCAAACACATCAGTAATAATTATTCTACTGTCTTAGCTGCGAGTGTAATTGGCTACCATCAAAGACTCAAACACATCGGTAATAATTATTGTACTGCCTTAGCTGCAGTGTAATTGGCTACGATCAAAGACTCAAACACATCGGTAATAATTACTGTACTGTCTTAGCTGCGAGTGTAATTGGCTACCATCAAAGACTCAAACACATCGGTAATAATTATTGTACTGCCTTAGCTGCAGTGTAATTGGCTACGATCAAAGACTCAAACACATCGGTAATAATTATTGTACTGCCTTAGCTGCGAGTGTAATTGGCTACCATCAAAGACTCAAACACATCGGTAATAATTATTCTACTGTCTTAGCTGCGAGTGTAATTGGCTACGATCAGATGTGTTTGAGTCGTTAATAATTATTGTACTGTCTTAGCTGCAGTGTAATTGGCTACCATCAAAGACTCAAACACATCAGTAATAATTATTGTACTGCCTTAGCTGCAGTGTAATTGGCTACGATCAAAGACTCAAACACATCAGTAATAATTATTCTACTGTCTTAGCTGCGAGTGTAATTGGCTACGATCAGACTCAAACACATCGGTAATAATTATTGTACTGTTTTAGCTGCAGTGTAATTGGCTACCATCAAAGACTCAAACACATCGGTAATAATTACTGTACTGTCTTAGCTGCGAGTGTAATTGGCTACCATCAAAGACTCAAACACATCGGCAATACTTCAAGCAACAAAATTTAAGTTGGAGTTGTGTGTCTAATTTTCAGAATTAGTTTACTGATTACTGTTGATTGATGATGAGTAAAAACTTATTCTTTATTGTGTTTATTCTTATATGATCAATTTTGACAACTGTACGATCTCGCTCTGATCTGTAGGTTAAAAATATTTTTGTTCTTTTTAAGGTATGAATAAAGAGAAACTGAAATGTCGAGCCTGTAATTCTGCATTAACAGTTCATTCCGAGTGTTTACCAATTCCCGTTCCTTCCAAAGACCCGTATTATCCAGCAGTTCACGAAGCATCAAAAGAACAGTTCTGCTTGCCGTTCACTCGCTCCATGTCTGGCCAGAGGACTCTAGGGGTTAGGGAACAGATTAACCAGGTAACGGCTTACGTAGATGGCTCTGCCTTCTATGGGTCCGATGACTGTGAAGCCAGAGCTCTTCGCACGTTTCACGATGGCCAACTAAAGATGACAAAACATCCTGATGGAAGGAGACATAAACCTCTCTTGCCAGAAACCCTAACTATAAATGATTGTGTTAGTTCTAATGGAGTCTGTTTTACCGCTGGTGATTCTCGCGTGAGCGAGCAACCAGGTCTCACAACAATACACACCATTTTTGCACGGGAACATAACAGACTAGCCCTTCGGCTACGAGACGTCAATCCACTGTGGAAAGACGAACAACTCTACCAGGAAACAAGGCGTATAGTTTCTGCCTCTTTCCAACACACTGTCTACTCTGAGTTTCTCCCTAGGGTTCTCGGTTGGGAACTCATGGAGAAATGGGGGCTTACTCCCCTCAAGACTGGCTATTATTTTAACTACGACCCCAATTGTAATGCTGGTATCTTCAATGAATTTGCGTCAGCTGCTTTCAGATTTGGACACACGTTACTTCCTCCTAGTCTGAAACGTATGACAAATCTGTACGATTCCATCGACAATATTACGTTGGCAAACAACTTCTTCGATAATCACCTGATGTACAACGGTCAGTATTTCATTTTTACTTGTGAATTAGTGAACACCAGAAACATAACTATTGTGGAATAATATAAATATCAGCTACAAAATGAATACTTAGTTTTAGTAGGAATGTATTATGTATAACGTAACGAAATTAAACCGACCCAACACAGTCTTTTCTGTTCCCTTTCTCTCTTTAGTTTTGTTTGTCTGAGAAACTTGGCCACTTGCGGGTGTGTAAATATATATATATGTGGTTTCACTAATTATTTTGTACCGTTATATAGGGGCTTATATAAACATGTGTATGTTTTATAACTATTAAAAAGGGTTACTGCGATAATCGACTTGAAAGAAATGTGATATTAACTTGATGATAAATTCGTTGAAAACGTGTCTTTTTACAGTGTTTAAAAACATTGCTTCAAAATGTTAGTTACAATGGCGTAGGAAGCACATTGTACCAGTAAAACTGGATTAAAAGTAGGGAAATTACTCTCAGGAAAAGCAGGAGAATGCATAAAATTTTATCCAGAACTCGAGCTTCTTGGGCCCTAAGGCGAGTTCTGGACTCCGGCCGTAATGGGTGCGCCTGTAGCGCACATTCTCTCGCTTCGCTTGGTCAAATAAACATTTTCCCCCTTTTAATTTGCCTTCTACAGCTCTGATTTACTTTAATGTTTTCCTACTTACTGACGTTCTTGTAAATTCCAGGTGGCATGATAGACGACATACTTCGGGGGTTATGTGCGGACTCATCCCCCTCGTTTGATACTCAGGTGACAAAGGCAGTGACTAGACACTTGTTTGAAGATCCCAACACTCGTTACTCGGGGCTAGACTTGGTGAGTCTGAACCTACAGAGGGCGAGAGATCACGGAATACGGCCATACAATGACTACAGAGAGTTCTGTAACTTGACTCGTGCTACGTCATTTCAAGATCTCGTGCAAGACATGCCGGAGGACGTTGTTGCAAAGTTGTCTCTTGTTTACAAGTAAGTTAGAACAGACGTCCGTAGTCTTTCTTGTTTTATATATTCTAAACCATAAGTTACTACAAGTTAGCTCCTTAACATCAGCGTGAACTTGTTACTGTTATTTTAAACTTGAATCTCACGTTCATCGCTAAACACATTAGGGTAATATTTGACTTACATTGTGGAAAGTCGTTTGTATTCCCTAAATGAAAATAGTTAAAAATTCAATCATGAAGTTAATCTTTCGATATTTTAGATATTTTATTTTATCGTTGAAAATATTTCTACAGTTGGGCAAAACAAATCAAAATCTTTAACTTCAGAATCTATGTTTTGAACAGCCCTACAGAGGTTCAGCGTTATGTTTGGGGGACTATAACGTTAAAATTCAAGGTTTAAATCCCTTCGATGTATACAGCACTGATAGCCTCCTCTGTAGATTTACACATGAAACAAATAGCCTATTTTACAACTTTCTGTTATACCAGGAAATGACTGAAACCTCATGAAGGAATCTTTGTGAAAACTGGTGGTTAAGTTTAATGCGTGTGTGTGTATTTTACCTAAACATCCACTTATCTATGCTGGACGTTTAACTAGTGTCATTCTGTTAACACTTGACGTCAAGCGGTACCCATATTATTAGTCTCTAGATTGCCGAGTGTTAATGGCAAGGGATGGTTGAATTCCTTCTAATCAAGGGTATCGAAGTGATGGTTGAATTTCTTGTAACTATGGGTATCCAAGTGATGGTTGAATTCCTTGTAATCGTGGGTATCCAAGAGAAGGTTGAATTCCTTGTAATCGTGTGTATCCAAGTGAAGGTTGAATTCCTTGTAATCGTGGGTATCCAAGAGAAGGTTGAATTCCTTGTAATCGTGGGTATCCAAGTGAAGGTTGAATTCCTTGTAATCGTGGGTATCCAAGAGAAGGTTGAATTCCTTGTAATCGTGGGTATCCAAGAGAAGGTTG